GGCGGAGGGAGGGCAAAGCCGGCAGACGCCGCCTTCCGAGCCTCCCCGCGCCGGCCGGCGGGCGGCATCCCGCGTCCCGCCGCACAAGCCGAGCGAGGCTCCGCGAAGGGCGGCGGAAGGTGGCAGCCGCGGCTCCGGCTGTCCTGGCGGGGCAAGGCGGGGCTCGGGGGCTCTTTGGAGCAGGCGGATTGGCTGGCCGGGACCCAGGGATGCGCCGCTCCCTCCCACGCTGGGGATGCGGCGGCCGCTTCCACGGGCGGCTCCGGCGACCAGATTGGGACCCTCCGCTCCGCTCAAATGGGGGGGGGGAGGTGGGGGTGGCGGAGAGCGGCGGTCCCGGGGGCGAAAGGGGGGATGACAAAGCTCTGCCCTCCCGCTGCGGCTGCCCTGATTTTGGCCCTGTGGGGATTCCACTGGGCGCCTCTGCCCTCCTTGGCTGACCCTCTGGTGGCTTCTGAGAGGGGAAGGCCGGCCGCCCTCTGGGGTCCCCCTCGAAAGCCTCCTGGGTGGGAAGGGGGCGGTTCCAGGGCAGCAAAAGCCGAGGCCCAGGTGGCCCCTGCCCAGGTGGGGCTCCAGGGGCCTTGGAAAAGAGAGGAGCAGCCAAGGGGCGCTTCCAGGCCCAGGCCACTGTCCAAGCAGTTCCAGGAGAGCCTCCCTGTGTGCCTGGAGGCAGAAAGCTCCCCTGTTGCTCTGGGCTGCCCTGGGTCCTGGTCTGAAGCAGCCCAGAATTGGACCCCCGGTTCCTTACACGTGATGGAGGCGGTGAATCTTGGTCACCGCTGCCCACCTGGCTTTCGTGGCACCCACTGCAGATGCTCCAACTTCTCTTGCCTTTCATAATTTCCTAGGATGCAACTTTCCTTCACAGACAAAACTGAACCCTAATTGTCTATTTCCACCGTTTCTTTGTCCCTTGTTAGCATTTTACCTTCCTCACTGTGCAGATGGTATATTAATTGCTTTGTCCGTTTGTTTGTTTTGACTGAGTTCACCTGAGTTTTTGCTCTGCAATTCTGAGATCCTTCCTATCTTCCTTCAAGTCTTGTTTCTATTTCCTGAATCTGCCTTTCAGAGCTTCATCCGATTCTTCTACCCGTCCAGAGTTTATCAAATATAGTGCCAGTTTTATTTCAACTGTGGAAATGTTTCTCTGCCAAACAAATGCTTCTGTTCAAAGCCATCGCAATGCTTTTAGCTGAGCTAATATTTATATTGGGGAAGGCAATCTGAATGCTTACCTTTTGGAGATTTTGGAGTCTGCATTTTTCTTACAAAATACAAAGTTGGACTGAATGGCCCGCATAAATCTGTCTGAACAATATCACATGCGGAAGGAAAAGAGTATTTCCTACAAAACATACAGTATGTGATTGTTAAAGCGTTGATTGGAACCAGAGGTATCAAATTCCATTCTGGTTGATTTGGGGCCAGTGTCTCTCAGCACAATTTATTTCACCAGTTGGCTAAGGAATGAAATGTGGGGAGACCCACATGGACCCAGCTGGAGCTGTCAGAGAAGAGATGCTATCAGTAAAGAAGGACCTGGTTTTCTGTGTGTCTAAAGAGGGCTGTCGGTGAGCGTTGCACAGTTTTTGGTTGTGCTCAGAGGCTTCTCCTTAGCACGCCTGATATATCATTGATTGATATTATTATCACATCACCACTTGCCTCATACATATGCTGATGACAAGGGCTGGGAAGCTTCACTGCTTTCTCAAAAATCTGGAGCATGCTTTACAATCAATTACTTAATGCTACTTCAGGGTAGGAAAGCACTGTAGAGAGGAGGAATGGGAGTAAAAATAGTAGTTGGAGAGTTTGTTTCAGCAACTGCACAACACACATGTGTTTCTCATCATGGCTCTGTTTTGGACTGGGCTGTTTCCAGCATTCAGTGAAATCTGGCAGGAGGGCCCATTAACTCCATGCTTAAATGACTGACTCACCAAATTATGCAGGATGCCATTAGATGTGGGAGATGCTTTTCTCAGGCTAGCTAGGCCAAATCCATCTGGAAGAGAGAAGGAAGCCCAGGGGGAGGAGTTTGGATCACCCAGCCTGCTTTTGAAGAAAGAGCCACAAATGAAAGTAGAAGGCAAAAGGAAGCAAAAGGGCGGCATATAAATAAAATCATCATTCAACAAAATCAACATTCAACAATGGCACCAAGGATAATAGGCGCCTTGAGTGCAATTCCAGAACAACTGGAGCATCACTTGAACACCTTCGGCCTTGACAACCTCCCCCTTGGCCGATTGAGAAAGGCAGCTGTACATCCTGTAACACCATCAAATATCTGGCTCTCCCAGATCCTGGGGAAGGACTCCAAAGGCAGACAAAAAAGCCAAATCTAGTCTGAACAACCGGCTGACTCTGCAACCAGCCACAGAATAGATTGGCTGCTGAGGCCCCACCCCAAAGGCAAAGATGCAGGGAGGGCCAATCAACTGGCTGCCATCTTTTAAAAGAAGGTTCCTATTTTAGAAATTTTGGTTGCCCAGCCAGAAGGCCACAGATTTAAAGCTTGCTTCATTCAAAAAGAATTCCCCTTCAAGCTCCTCTTGGAAGACCCTCAGGGTCTCTGCTGTGTTAGGGCGTGTTGTGGCACCTCTTCTTTTTAATTCCCACGTGGATCCAGCCCCCCTCCCCCTCTCTCACCTTCTGTTCAAAGGGAAAACTAGGAATAACGGGTAGCAGAACCTAAAGTCTTAGTATTTTCCTAACAGCATCCTAACTTCCATAATTGCCAGTTTAATGGGAATGCTGTGGAACAAGCCTGTGCTTACAAATACCTCGGAGGGCTGTTCCAGATTTCGGAGAAGGGTTTTATATCTGGCAATTGCTACTCCTCGGTGTAACTCCTCCTCGGCTATTCTGAGGTTTTTCCATTGGAAAAGAGTCCACTTTATCCCTGTAGCTTGCAAGGTTTTCCTGGCCAAGGTCATCGCCCAGATTCTCTGCAAGTCTGTCCTCTTACAAGACTTCATCTCCTGGAAGGAGTCCAGCTCCAAGCCTTTCGGTCTTTAAGGCATTCGGCCCCAAGGAACAGGAGTTAAAAATCTGTCCTTTTGCTTAGAGATGACCAGTGAAGTCCTCACCAACTTTTTTCTTTTTCTCCAGTGTTTCTGGTTCCTGGGTCTCACTGAGACCCTGTGAAGCTAAAATAAGCTTCCTTCTTTAAAACCATCTTTAGAAAGCTTCTGCCAACGGGGGCTCGATCACACCACTAGCACAGCGTCCTTAAAGGGTGGAGGTGGTGCTCAAATCAACTGAAGCCTGTTTGAAATATACCTGAGTTGGGGGGGGGGGTTGTGGTGGGTGCCAAGAGCACCGACAGGCAAGTGAAGGCCGCAAGTCACAGATTGGAGGGGGGGGGGGTTCCACAGTACAGAGGGCAGGCAGCAGGGGGATGGCAGCTGCTGTGGAACACGCAATCCTTGTGATGCACACATGTAAATATACACAGATACAAGAAGAAAAGAGCAAACACACATCTCCGCAGACACAAGCCATCATTTCATTGCATGTACCAGATGTGTTCACTGCTGGTAAAGAGGTTGGAAAGAATTCCATAAATCCTTTGCACGCTTCCCCTAATTCACGATGTTCCTCTTCAAAATAGAATTTCAAAACCTTTTTTGGCCGTGTATCAAAGAGGATTCATCTCCATTCAGATCTCATAGAGGGACAGCAGAGAAGTCCTGTCTGTCCTCTTCCAACTGCAGCCTCAAAATCGCTGCCTAGTTTAATCTCTTCATTTCTCCCTCTGCTGGAGGGATTTTCTCCTGAGGATGGGCAGAGTCCAAAAGCTCAGAAGGCCGACCCGGAGTGGATCCCGCAATGTTATCCTGGGACACACAGATTGTTATTTCTGCCCAGTAGCATCCAAAGGAGAGTGTGTGTGTGTGTGTGTGTGTGAGAGAGAGAGAGAGAGAGGGAGACTTCAGCAGCATCGCAGGACTGCAACATAAACTCCCTCTTTCCCCTGACCTTCCGAGCTGTGACAGAAGTGAGAGGATCCCACCGGAGTGGCTGTTTCTGCTTTCTTTTTCCTCCCTGGGAAGGAAGGAGCACTTAGAGGCAGAAGTGGCTGGGGGTCTTTTATATATATGCATCTTCCCTCAACTTCCAGAATGGAAACCTTAATGAAAATGCAGGCATAGAAAGAAGTCCATTAATAGGCAGAGTTTAGCCTTCACTACGAGCCCTCGGAATTGCTTAACTTTGGTAATTTAATACATTAGTTAGCGCACGA